TAATGTGTTTGCTTTCTAGAGGCAACCACGTGCTTTGTCTTCTTCTTCGGGGAAAGGTTACTTTGTGGGTCAAGCATATAGAAAACTTGTGCGACACGTGAAGCGAGCACCCAAGGTTCATCTTGGTAGCCTAGATTCTCGAGGTCAAGGACTCTCAATCCGATCTTGTTCAGTCGGTGTTGTTTGATCCAGCGGCATCGAAACAGGGCCACTGTTATATCCCTTCCATAGTCAAGTTCCCATATCTCTTCAATGATGCCAAAGTATTGGATCTTTCGCCCCACTCCACCGAGAGCTTCTATTTGAACGCCGTTGTTTTGGTTCACATATTTACTATCCTTTGCGTGGGTATAGTACGTATACCCATTGATGTCATAAGCTTTCCAAGATGTCACTTGTCTCGATGGCCCCTCCGCCAACCTATTGATGGTAATAGAGTCTATGGTTTCTCTAAGCAGTATGTTTTGGTCCTTCAACCATGTAGTTAGTTGTTGCTTGTGCTGTTTCATGATTCAATCATCTGAACGACCATTTCTCTCCGCCATAATGATAGCCAAGTATTCATCAATGTACGGTTGCATCAGTTGTGTACTCTACAAGACACTGTAATGCGCCCGACTCACCTCTTTGTAATCCTGGTCGATGAACACTTTTCTACCACTGGTGCCGTTCCCAGCTAGCCTACCCTTGTGATAAGAATCGGTTTACCAATCTCTTTCTATACTTTTAGGTACTCTTGATAGCATTCGATGACTTCTTCAGTACTGTAACCCTCTATCATGGAGCTCTCTGGGTATGCTCGATTATGCACGTATCGACTTAGAACTGACATGAACCGCTCGTAGGACCACATTTCATGCAAGTAGCAAGGTCCTAGCGCCTGTATCTGATGAATCATGAGATGTGGCATTATATAAAAAAAGCAGGAGGTAAACACATCTCTAGTTGGTTTTGTGTCTCCACCACAAATTCATGTAGGTCACTCAGCTCTTGCTTGCCAATCGTCTTCTGTGAGATCTTCGAAAAGAAGTAGCACATGTGGGTGATGGCCATTTTCAAGAACTCTGGCTTTATAGCCCTGATTGCAATAGGTAGAAACACTGTTAGCAATACATGACAATCGTGAGCCTTGCAGTGTGTTATTGACAAGTCCTTCATTGACACTAGCTTCTTCACATTTGCTGAAAACCCAGTCGGGACTTTGACCCCCCTCAGGAAAGTGCATATAGCTTTCGTCTCTTCTGGTGTTAGGTTGAAGCACGCCACTGGCAGAGTGTATTTTCCATTAGCCTCAGGTACCGGGTGAAGCTGTGGCATCACATTTAGCTGCACCATGTCTTTCCGTGATTTCAGACCATCCTTTGACTTGCCTATGTCCATCAAGGTAGCAATGAGACTCGTAAAGACATTCTTCTGCACGTGCATAGCATCAATGGCATGGGGGACCTCCAAGTCTAGCTAATAAGGCAGATACTGAAAGAAGATCGATTGTTTCTTGAAATGTACGCCTTCAACAGGAGATGTGCTTCTATCTCTGTTTTTCCCATCTGGATTCTTCTTTCCATAGACGACACGTATGCTTTCACCATTCTGTGCATGTGTTCTCCATTATGATGTCTCTTTGGAGGGTGTTCAATCTCCGGGGTGTTGTCATAAAATCTAAAGAATAATTTGCTATGGTACCTGTGACTTGTCTTTAAAAAGCGTCGGATCCTTAGGTAAACTATCCTCTTGGATGCATCCAGGAACACCCATGTAGTACCATCCAAGCAAACCAAGCATCCCGTCTTTCCTTTGATCTGTCCAGACAAAGCAAATAGAGTGGGGTAATCATTGGTAGTAACAAATATTATTGCTCTACATATGAAGTCCTCCTTTCGGAATGCATCGTACATCGGATCCCCATGCCTCCATAGCCTCTCCATTTCTTGCATCAAAGGCTCGAGGAACACGTCTATATCAATGCCTGGTTGTTTAGGGCCAGAAATAATAATAGTGAGGAGAAAGTACTTTCTCTTCTGACACAATCACGTTGGGATGTTGTACATGGTCAAGATCACTGGCCAAGTGCTGCGGTCGCTCATCCTCTCATTGAAGGGATTCATTCCATCGGTGCTCAAGCCAAACCATACATTCCTTGGGTCATCGCTGAATTCTTTGTGCTTCTCATCGATCCTTTGCCACTGACTACAATCAGCTAGGTGTGCAATCTTATCATCATCCACCTTGTGCTCATCATCCAACCATGTCATGAGTGCGACTTCTTTAGGGTTTAGGAAGATACGTCTCAAGCGGTCGGTCACTGGCAGGTATCACATTACCAAGGCAGGAATTTTTCTCTGCTTTGCATTGTTGCCTAATGGAGTGTCCTCTAGGGACTGAGATTCTTGTACCACCTTTTTTGTATCCTTTTTATTCCTCTTTTTCCTCGTGGAGGCTTTGTCCCCACCGTAAAGGTCATTGTTCTTGTACCGACTGGCCCAACACCGGGGACATTTATCCAGTGACTTGAATGTTTCGCCATGAAAAAAGATATAGTGGTTGGGGCATGCATGGATTTTTTAACCCCCATTGTCAATGGACTTATGACCTTCTTCACTTGATATGTGTTGGCAGGAAATGAGTTTGGTTGTGGCAGCACCCATGACAGGAGACGCAATAGATCATTGAAACTATAGTCTGACCAGCCGTACTTAGCCTTTAGGATGAGTAGCTCAAGCACAAAATATAGCAATGTCCAATGTGTCGGACAACCCTTTTTAACACCATACACAATCTCCTTCTATGCTTTTGTCACCCTTTCTAAATTTTTTAGACCTTTCGGGTTCTTTAGTAAAATCTCTGGTTCAAGGGCTTGAATCATGTCCTCCAAATCATCTTCATCCCTGACACGTACTCCACCATCATTATTGGCACCACCTTCGTCGTTACCATCCCAACCACCAGCGTCACCACCTTGTTCATTGCCAAACTCGGGATCCATTCGTGCATCAAGCTCCGCTAAATATTGGGACAGGGATTCTAGGGTTTTATCGTCGTATTCCTCCTTATCCTCGTCGTTAACAATAACCGTTTCACCATGATGAATCCACACTATGTAGTCCTCAACAAATCCTCGCATAATCAAATGTGGTTTGATGATAGTCATATCTGTCCATGCCATACGGTTCTTGCAATCTTTACAGGGACAAATAATTGTATCCTTATTTTCTGTGAACGTCGCTTTGCACCTCGCTTCTCTCATGGCTTCAATAAATTTATCCACCTCTTCACGGAAACCTACCTTGAACCTTAACGAACCATACATGCAAGAGTTCATGTACTCCATCTTTTACAACAACAACAAAACAAACATTAAAGGACTACTTATTCATATATATATATATAAATGAATCAAATTAATAATTACTTAAGAATAATTGTATAAACTTCAGATATATATGAATATAAATCAAATATAATTACATGAAGCATACAAACACACCATGGTAGAGGAAAATTAATTAATGACCTATTTATCCATAAATAATTAAAATACATATTTGTTGATTACAATAAACAATTTCAAAGACAACAATTAGCAACAATTATATTTTACCCAATATCTTTCATGCAAACCCTAATCCAATTTCATCAAACATAAATTTACATAAACGAAATTAATAAAAAAACCAAACCCTAAATCTAGATCTAGATCTACATGCACATGAAACATTCATAAAACTAACTAATTGTTCACTAAAATCAAGAAACATAGACCAAATAAGGGTATGATCTTGTTTCCCTACCTAATTTACCCTAGTACATTTAAAACTTAGGTCCAATTTGCTTCATAAGTAGCTCAAGCACCATAGAAGAGAGAAAAATAAAACTCTAATTACTCACTAACCAACCATTAAAACTTCAAAAAAAAATGTAGAATAGCATTTTCTTAACTTCTACAACCTCTCCACAAAAGAATTTGAGATCAAAACCTTTTCTCCTTAGTAGAGCAATTTTTGGAAGGTGCCCAAGGCCTCCCTACCTTTTTCACGGGTTGGAGTGAGTGACCCGAGGAGGAAGAAGGGGGTTGCAGCCATTTATACAGCGGACATTTATAGGGACGGCTGGTGATTGAGCCACCCCTACAAATCGAACAGTAGGGGCAGCTGGTGAATGAGGCACCCCTACAAATCTACCCATTTGTAGGGGCGGCTCGTATTACCAGCCGCCCCTACTGTTAGATTTGTAGGGGCGGTTGGAATCATAGGACTCGAGCTCACCCACTGTAGGGGCGGTTGGTAGTGTAGCCGTCCCTAAAAAAAAGCCTCCGTTGCTAAAAATCGTTTTTGTAGCAGTGTGTGACGGACGTATTCAATCCACGATACAAACCAAACGGCTTAGGTCCTGTTCGCTTCTCTTATAATCCGTCTTTTTCACCTTGTTTTTTCAGCCGGAACAATATTTTTCTCTCGCAACAAATTAGCCGGAACAGTGTTTCGGTTTGTTTTTTCAGCGAAGCGAACGAGGTTCGGATAGTGGCTAGGATGATTCCAGATAGGATCATTCTCCAAACCAAACAGGCTGCCGCCTGACAGCAGCATCCTGTGGTCTTCTCTCTCTATACGCAAAGCCTCATCACTTGCGTATTTTGCACATTTATTTTACTACTACCGCTGTACTGTACTGTACGTGCGCATCTGATCAAAGCGGACACCACCATCCAGGGGAAGGGGAGGGTATATATGCCTTGCTGGTTGTCGGCTCGTCCTTTTGTTCTTGACCCCCGACCAAAGGAAGCCAAAGCCACCGTCGAAATGACGTCCCCAGCACATTTCACTGAACCGCAGGTACCATCAAAACTTTTTCCATTCGATATATAGAGAGAGAAAACCTCATGTATAGGTGGTGAGTGCCACTCCATGAACTGGGAAAACACAGAAAACGTGAGGTGAAAATTACCTAATAATATGGAGCACAAGTATGATATCAACGCATCAAGTTCTAGCTGGGTGGTGGAGATGGAGAAGATGCGCGAAGACGCCAACCCCTCGGTGGAGATGGTGCGGTGGAATCGGCACTCTATCTATCGAGTGCCGCAGTTTATCAAGGACACGACCAGTAGCGAGGCTTACAGTCCGCGGTTCGTGTCACTGGGCCCCTTACACCATGGCGAGCCCCATCTCCTGCCCATGGAGGACCACAAGCGCCGGGCGGTGCTGCACATGGTTAACCGGTCTGGGAAGCCTCTACAGGACTTTGTAGCAGCCATCGATGAAGTTGCAGATGAGCTACAGGCTGCCTACAATGACCTGGATGATGACAAATGGCGTGGAGCAAACAAGGGTCGCTTCGTGGAGACGATGGTTATGGACGGCTGCTTCTTGTTGGAGTGGGCAAGGACAGCAGGAATCGTAATAGGCGGAAATTTTGCTGTTGATTATGCGACCAACGACCCCATTTTCAGTCTTAGAAGCTATATAAAATTGTGGGGAACCATGAAGAGAGACATGATCGCTATGGAAAACCAACTACCTCTTATCGTTCTGCAAAGGCTTTTAGCTGTTCAGAGTGGCGAATTCCCGGTACGTACTTTTCTTCCCATGTATCTAGAACCCACTTATATTAGCTTGAGTCAACCTCTCTATAAAGCGAGTTCAAAGATACATGGCCCACTTATAGCTTGAGACAAATGTATAGAGAGATGGCCTAGTTACTTACATTCACAGCGGGTCTCAAGTACCTCTCGGTGACCTTATGTGCTCGCATACATAATATCCACGATGTACACTTCTAAAGCATTGTACGTGGCACTCCGTCGATACACCATGTTTTGTGTATTAAAATACCAAGTACTTTGTTGGTAGAAATGTAATGCATCAGTAATGTTGAAGTACTAAAATATAGTGAGACATACTAGCCATTTTGTTTTGATATATAACTCACTCGGCCTTTTTGGATTAAATTTCCCCTTAAGTTGATCAACATAATGCATTTATGCCAATAATGTATTAACAAAGTTAGTATTCAAAACTCAGCATAACAATTACATGTGCATATCTTAGCTAATGAGGATGGTACATATGTGTCTGGAGAATGCATAGAAAGTCTTTGTAGGTCTCTTTATCCATATCTAGTGGATCCGTGACATGCTACACCTACCTTGACATCAACAACAATGCATATCCAGTGGTTGTTGTATGAATTGAAGCACACGATAGAATACGTTTTCACAAACCACGGTAGTGTATCAAACCAAATACGTTTTTAGAAACCATGGTAGGGTACATGATAGAATCGAACATACTCAAAGTTGTAGGGGCAAATTATGAGACTTTTGTGTTCCAATGTTCTTCCAAGTTCGTGCAACCTACACCACAACCTTTAGCATCTCCGAGTGTATTGCTGTAGTACGGATTTTTTCTTTCCCCTCCATGGTTCCTCTTGCATTTGCCATCCAGTTTCTACTTTGTGGGGGATAAAGGTTATCTATGCACTTCTTGAGGGTCTAAGTACCCCAAAGGTGTCTTTTCAACCTCGTATGCATTCTGCAAATAACATCTCAGGTCAATATATAACCATATACACACACTTCTAAATATTAAAATTCTGTCAAATGGAGAGGCACTTGCACCACGCACAAATCTGATTGTGATTTCCATGTAGCGAGCCAAAAAATTGTCTGGATGTCGTTAGAGTCGAAGGCAAGTGATCCCACGGGGCCTCCAAATGTGTTTTTTTTTGGGAATTTTGCAATAATCACATTTATATCGATCAAAAGTGCACGAAATTATCAATCATGCATGGAACATCTTCATTCCCCATGGACATAATTTGAGTGCCTAGTTGGGTAGGAAAATCTTGGCTCTTTTATAGTGCTTTAGGTAATCTGGCTCATCTTTGATGGCCTCCATAGTTGGATACTTCCTCTTGGTGCATCAAGGCGGGCTACCGTTTGCTGGTGATGACTTTCTCAGTATGTGGGGCTTTTTCCTTGTTGTGCATGCCCATTGCCAGCTACTTTGGCACTCCTAAGGCTTCAACAACCTTCCCAGAGGATCTTATAATCACACGGACACCTTTTGATGTTCTATTTCCTTGGCGACCCCTTCTGGTATGTGAATTTTTGTGCATGTTATTGTTGTCACTGCTTGTCGTGTAGGGCTTTCCTCATTATCCCAGCAGCTATTTGTGGTGAAAGGCTCATCTTCTGCTCGGTGAGGTTAAGGATCTGGCGAGTTTTGCATCTCAAGAAAATGTTGGTCATGAGGCAGTGTTCATTGATGATCCTTCTCTTCAAGAATGGGTTGCCACTCAGGTAGCATAAGCCGGGATGGCGAAGGAGCAGTCAATATGATATCCCTCTTATGTCATAGGATGAACATATGTTCATGCATCCTCCAACCAAATGCATGCCCTTGGGAGTTTGGTGGTCTATCTTCCAGTGGTAGAACTAAAGCTTCACGGTGCTCACCTTCACCTTGGTGTGTAGTCTAGTGGGATCGGATGATAGTGATTCATGCCGCCCGGACGATATACCTCACTCGTGGCTACCTCATCTATTCCTCTAAGCCTGGCCATCATAATAGTCTACACACAAGGAGTTGATTCCCGTATAGGATGAAAAAACATGTGCGCTGCTGTGGAGCCCATGTTTCTCCGAATTTCACCATCTTTAGCTGTGATAGCAGAGTCATCATTACTGGCTTGACAGTGGAGGCAGCACTAGTGCCTCATCGGCCACTGCCTGTTCAAGTAAAACCATTAGAGTAAAATTCACTAGCGGTTTGTAAACTTGTACGTCAGTGTGATCTAGGTCCTCAACTCCCAATTTTTTTTCATTATTTGAGTCCATAAACATGTACTTTGGTGTCACTTCGTTCCCCAACTGTTAAATTTTGATATTTGGTTCCTATAACAAGTATAATAGTGTCATCTAGGTCCCCAAACTCGAGGATCAACACAAAAATAGCACTGGCAATGGGGGACCTCCAAGTATGACCAATAAGAAAAAAAAACTTAAAGAAGGTGGACTGCTTCTTGAAAGGTACGCTAGGGACAGGAGGTGAGGTGTACTTCTATCTCATTCTCTTCTTCCCATCCTTCATCTCCTTTCCGAAGATTACATGTACAATTTTTACCATCAGGACCATGTGGTACCATTCTGACATCTCTGCGAAGCAAATTAGGTTTCCAAATGTTTCCACTCTCTATTCCGTGACTATCACTAGCCAAAGATATGGAGAGCATGCATGACTCTCCAAAGTGCACACAATATAGAGAAGTTGTTGGAAAGTGAAAAGATATATAATGCAATTTTTATTCAAATGACTCCCCAAATGAGAATTTAGAGATTGAGTATACGAAAGACCCTTGGAGATGCTCTTACTATGTAATCGGAGTACCATAGTGTATTGCCCCTATTTTTTCAAACAAAAGTTCATATATATAATTATTTACGAGTATTGTGATGCTTCGGAAATTTGATGTAAATAAGGAGTTCTCATGTTGTTAGAGAATCTCTAAGAGTTCACCTATCAGTCCCTCTTAGAACCAAAATTAAGGTTTACGAAACAAAATTCACCCTCCAACAATTCCCCTATTCAACATCCTATATTTGGTGATATCGTAAATAATCCCCCTCCTTAAATTTGGCATGTCATGTTATTCACCCTATATGTTATTTAAGATAAGGTAACTGTTAGAGGAGTGAAATATTTAAAGAGGAATTTCTGTTAGCATATACCCATATACGAGGGGGATTTAAGTTTATGAGAACTCTAAATATATATTTTTAAGGGAAAAGAAACGTACTGAACAAAAATAAAACACCTTTTCAAATATATCCATCTGCTTTGACACATTGCTTCAATGTCTAGGCTCTAACTACTGTTTTTGTTTTAATGGTGAGCACAGAAAGCTGCTGAGATCAACAATATGGTGCAACTTCTTTTGGATGTAGCCCCATGCTTTGAGGAAGGCATTGACGAGCTAGGGCTCCACTTCCTAGACATTTTCCACAAAAGCTACTGTGGCACCCCGCCGCAATGGGAAGAATCCGATCCTGATGAATTTGAGCCTCGCACGCCATGTGCGGTTGAGCTGAGCGAGGCAGGGATCCAGTTGAAGAAGAGCCGCACTGACAGCATCCATGATGTTGACTTCAAAAAGGGTGTGCTGAGCATGCCGCTCTTCACGCTGCATGACGACACGGAGATATATCTCCTCAACCTGATGGCATTTGATATGCTGCACCCTGGTTCCAATTTCTACGTGGCGTCGTACATATTCTTTGTCGATAAAATCATCGAGTCAGAAAGAGATGTGGCACTTCTAAGATCCCAAGGGCTCTTTGCAAACATGATAGGCAGCGACAAGAATGTGGTTAAGATGTTCAACACCCTCACAACGTTAGCACCGGTACCATGGAGAGGCAGCAAGCTAGGCTATGTGAATTGGAAGGTAAACAGCCACTGCAAGAAGCGACGGAACAGGTGGCGAGCCAGCTTCATGAACACTTATCTAAGCAACCCTTGGGTGTTCACCTCCATGGTGGCTGCCTTCATCTTACTCGTCGCCGCCCTCCTGCAGACCGTCTATACGGTTGTCCCGTTCTACACCAGAAAGGGCTAACAAGAACTCAGGACGTGGTTAACCTGTCCTTGGGCTTTGTATATGTGTGGACCACTATTGTTCCCTCGGTTGTTCTTGTGTGTACAACTTGGACAGAAATTATATATGTTAGGGGAAGTTTGAGCTCTGTTTAATTATGTGACTCCTCTATTCTGTATATGTGCGGACCTCTAAACTGTTTCTACTCATGTTACAATAATCATATTTATTTGGTGAAAAGGTATTGTGTGTGTTGGAATGATTTGAGGGAGAAGAAAGATTCGATGGTATTAATTCCATGTTAGCACCGGTGGTGGTCACAAATATACCTATAGGAACTGTGTTGATTGGCTAATAAAAAGCCTAAAACTAATTATTAGTTAGAGTTAAAAAATATTTAGCGAGCTAAAAATTAATCAGCTAACTATTAACCCGTGCATGTTTGGATCTCCAGCTAATAAGTGTATACATACCTAGCATAGCCCTTACTCTAGCTAGTTGTTTTTAACTAATGGGTGGTCTGTTTTCTGCTATTTGTCCATTCTGAGATGGCGTCCGATGCAGATCTGGGCCAAACCGCTGAGCCTGAGCTGCTAGTTTTAATGTTGAAGGTATCGATGGCCTGATTTGTTTCATAGATTTATACTGTAATTACCATTGCGCTGCTGCCCCGGAGCAATATGGTATACTATTGAGGTGAAAGCTATGTTTGGGTCCCTGCTGCGCTAGCAGCTAACTATTAGCTGCTATTAACTGGTTTGCAATAACTTGTGAGATAGTCATTGTCAATTGAGTATCCATCTAACAATTAGCTACGCTATTACTTAGCTGAGCATGTTTAAATCAAAGGAACAAATTATTAGCAACTAACTATTGGCTCTATGGATCACATAGCACACTATGCCATCTTGCGTTGCTCCTCCAACAGAATGTGGTAGCCCATCAATTCAGCACGCTCCAACAGAGCGCTCAGTGCCGCGTCAATGGATGTGCGGGGCCTGTCGCGGAGTGCCGCCACCGTCTCCAGTGCCGGACACTACCACTCGCTAGAGCGCGAGGCCTTGATCTGCTTCTCCATCACGTGCGGATCCTCCCCGGCCACGGCTACTGCCTGCTGACTACCTCGCATGCCTGTCTGCCGGCGACGACCAGCTATGCACTGCTCGCAAACACATTCATGGCATTAATGGCAGTGGAGACTCCAACTTCATATCTGTTTCGCCCCCAAAAATCCAGTCCCACAGCACTGCTAGACACTTGCTTGATTTTTTCCAAATACAAATTGACGACAACTTGTGCTGAATTGCTTGATTTCTCCATTTGAGCCACTGTCGGCCGCCTGCACCTCCTGTCCATCGCATGATTTCTCCGTTTGAGTGTTTGACACGGACATCAGTGAGGACGTCGAGGAGTTTGGCCTGGACGCCATCGGCCGTTGTTCTAGGCAGATTAGAATAGAACATTAGCTGGTGACCACCGCCCTCGGGATGCTCATGCTCTTCTTATGGGACCGGCGGGCAGCAGGGGTGTGCAGAACTGCAGATGCAGAAATCGGACACTCCTGCTCTTCTTACGGTCCGCGCGTGTGGATCCTTGCTCTTCTTTTGCTCCTGCTTGGCTGCCATGGCGAAGGTCTGTGTAGGAATTAGGATCACAATCACAACGCTATGGATCAAATTGGCTAGCCCTATGAACAAGAATGCGCAAGAACACATATGTACACGAACAGCAACTGTCGGATGACAGTGCTGTTTTCCACTGATATGCGATGACAGTACAAATTTGAAATGTGCGGTTACAATGCGCTAATGCGCTCTCTAAACACCCAGCTATTTATACTAATAGCTAAAACACACTGTGACACACACAGAAAATGAAAAAACAAGATACAAGGCTTGTCGATGCAATTGCCTCGCTCTGGAACACGACGTGGGCGCGGTCACCAGTTTGCTCGCCGCCAACTGCTCCCGCTCTTCCTTGTTTGAATTAAAACTTGCCGCTCCCGCCACCACGGCTTCTGCAGCAACTCCACACACGTCATCACAGCAGCAAGCTTACATCAACATTCTCCCCTTTAAGCTTGATGCTCCTCAAGCTCACGGACACCGAGAAGGTGCCTCATCACCCCCAGCTTCACCACTGGCAGAGCCTTGGTCAGAGAATCAGCCTTCTGCTCCAAAGTGCTAACTCTCTTCACAACAATCTCTCCTCGTTCAACACACTCTCTGATATAGTGATACTTGATATCAATGTGTTTGCTTCTCCCATGAAACACTGGATTTTTCATCAACTGAATAGCTGAATTATTGTCCACAAACAAAGTCACTATCTTTGGCTTGGTTTTTGTGAGCTCACTCAACAGATTTCTGAGCCACATTGCCTGCATTGGAGCTGCTGTTGCAGCCATGAACTCAGCCTCACAAGATGACAATGCCACTGTCTTCTCCTTGTGTGAACACCAAGTGATCAAACTGTCATTCAGATAGAATGCCATCCCTCCAGTGCTCCTCCTGTGATCCAAATCACCTGCTAGATCACTGTCTGAGTAGCCAACTAGCTTCTCTTCCTTCTCCTCCTTGGTATAAACCACCCCATAGTGAATGGTACCCTTCAGATACCTCAGAATCTGTTTCACTGCCTTGGAGTGCATAACAGTAGGTCTCTCCATGAATCTACTAGCCATACCAACAGAGAAAGCCAAATCTGGTCTTGTATGCAGTAGATACCTGAGACACCCAATAACCCTCCTATACTTAGTTGCATCAATGGTTACACCACCTTTGTCATCATGCAACTTGACACCTGGATTTATTGGTATCTTTGTTGGATTGCAGTCAGCCATCCCAAACTGAGAAAGTACCTTCTTAGCATAGCTAGATTGCTTGATAGTAATGCAGTCACCCTGTTGATCCACCTCAATTCCCAAATAGAATGACAACAAGTCTAGGTCACTCATCTCAAATTCTGAGGTCATCTGCTGCTTGAACACTTCTATTTCTGCTGGATCTCCTCTAGTCACTATCAAGTCATCAACATATACACCAAGAATTACTCCTGACACTCCAACTCCTCTAGTATACACTGTTGGTTCTGTTGCACACCTCCTGAACCCAAGTTTCTTCAAATTTCCATCAAGCTTCACATTCCAAGCCCTAGGAGCCTGCTTAAGCCCATACAATGCTTTGCTTAGCTTAAGCACCATCTGCTCCTTGCTTTTCACCACATACCCCTCAGGTTGTGACACATACACATCTTCAATCAACTCTCCATTCAGAAATGCAGACTTTACATCTAAATGATGCACATGCCAACCTCTGTTGGCTACCATTGCCAGAATCAGTCTCATAGTGTTAAGCCTTGCCACTAGAGCAGAAACCTCCTCAAAATCAATGCCTTGTTTTTGAACATAACCCTTGGCAACTAACCTAGCTTTGTGCTTCACTACCTCACCCTCTGCATTCCTCTTCAGTTTGTACACCCATTTCAGTCCAATGGGTTTGTGACCAGTTGGTAACTTTGCCAACTCCCAAGTCTTGTTCTTGTTAATAGACTGAATTTCACTGTCTATTGCTGCTATCCAGTCACTATCACCAGCTGCATCTGAGTAACTTGATGGCTCCTCCATCACTGCCAACAGACCATTGATCTCTGTTTCAGTATCTGAAGCTAAATCCACTTCTACTTAATCCTGATACACCTCATTCAGACTTCTAAATCTAACTGGTCCATCATCATGATCAACATCCATTGCATCATCAAAAAGATCTTGATCTGGTTCTACCCCTTGACTCACAGAGTTCTCTGTATCTGTTGCCTGACCATGAACAATGTCAGACAGTGCTTCACTTCCTTGTTGGATTGAACCCACTACATCTCCAGTAGCTTGCACAACTGGATGGTGTTGATGGTTATCACCACCTGGAGCACCACGACTCCACAACTATGCTGTCTCACTTACAGTCTCATCAAGCACAAATTCTGAATTTTCCCCAAATTCAGTACCCACTTCCAAGCTTCTCCTTCCTCAAACACCACATCTCTACCCACTACATCTCTATTCATCCTTGTTGCCTTGGACTTCGAGTGTCCTGTAGGTCTTCTTCTTAGCTTCTAATGTCTTGCTTGAGCTGTTAATCATCCGGATCACCATGTTGCCTAAGTCCGAATCACTTTTGCACCTTATTGGACTACAAAATGAACACTTGCAAACTCATTAGTCCAACTTGGTCATGTTGATCATCAAACACCAAAATCCAAACTAAATGGACGAAGGGTCCATTTTTCCTTACATGGTCAATCTGGATAACAAGGAATAAAGTTGTTTTCAATAATTGTCAAACCAATTCTCTTTTGCAGGTGTTATTCTAGGGGACCCATTGGCTTTGGTTCTGGGCCCAATTGTAGCGATGTGAGGTTCAACAAGCACTCATGGTGGAGGCTTGTTGAACTTTTGGAGACCGCGGCAATAAGTCTCTTTGCATCCTATGGATGACCTTCTTTGATTATAAATTGGGTTTTGAGTTGTTTTCTTACAAGAACTTTGTTTATCCAGAGTTGTTAAGTAAGTTGTAATAAGTTCGTCTAACTCCTCTTCAACGAGGATGAAGCTAGATACTCTTTGCATTATCTAAAATAGTTAAGAAAGAACCAATAGATAGAACGAGCTAGCTAGAGCTCAGGCTAAGCTAACATAACTTGAGATTGACTAAGTCATAATATGTATCTCGTTTTTGACGCACACGCATCTACTACTGAAAGAGCAACTCCATTAGAAGAAAATATGAGCACACTAGTAAAGGGAAATGACAAAACCGTTACTTTAGACGATATACATGTGGGTATGGCACGGCCCTTCAAAAATCATCGGCATAATAATGCATATCTAAACTGAATTTACAAATATATATACGAATACATCTTTGTCGAGCTGTAGGAGGGGAATACAATATCTAAAAAAAAGAACTAGGGCAATAGCAACAAGAAATGACACAGTACGTACATAAAGGCAAAAGTATAGATTACATGGCAAGTGCGAGACCAAGATAATGTGTGATGCGTAACCCAATCACGATCGGGCGCACGTGCGCCGCTAACTGAAGCGGCTTAGACGACGACCCATGGCCGAAATTGAGGAAGAAGGGGGCGGGGTTGGGGTAGGGGGCGGGCAGTGGGTAGAATGGCAAGTAGTAAGGTCGTCGTGGCCGGGGTGGTGGACGAGGCAACAGTTAGGGTTTTAGGTATTGCGACCATCCATGGCCAGCGGGCTTAGAAGGAGGGGCCCGGGGCAGTGGCTGCAATGGTGTTGGTAGCGGGTTGAGGGCGGTGAGCAAGGCGGCGATGGTGCCACTGAGCGGGTGGCGGAGGACATTTGGAAGGGCGGTGCAGGTGGTGGGGGCGATGAGTTGTCGGCGAGCTCCTGGTTTGGGATTAGGGAAGGACGGGTTCGTCTGACGGGGGTGGACGGTGGGCGGGGAGGTCACTGATGGCCTAGGGGGTGGTTTGAGGTGGGCGGGGGCAGGGCTCGCCGGCATCATGGAAGGGAGATGGACTAGTAAACCGTTGTGCAATGAGCGGTTTCATGACCCATTGTGCGACCCCGCCTTCCTGTTCGATTTGGATTTTTATATACCTATTCTAGCAAATCGCCACACACGTTTTTATCCCAACATCCGCACATGCTCTCTAGGATGCGTAGCGCAATAGCACCATGCAACCCCCTCCCCAACTAATCGCGGGTGAGTACTTCAAGTCTCCAACCAATCATGTAGGTGTCGACATCACATGGAGCATCAAGGGTGTGTTTGGTTTGAGGAATAAGATGGCCTATCTTTTTTTCACTCCTCACTTTTTATTTGGTTTGGGAATGGAATGAGTTGATCTATCATCATCTCAGTCCTCACAGGCTAATAATTAGGTATAGTTTACGACCAGGTTGGCTAGCCGGTTTCTTTCCTCTTCTATTTTTTCTATGCTTTTATTTATTTTAGGAAACATTTTTATGTGTGTCGTTTGTTTGCCATATATAATTAGGCTGAACACCTGTTGTGTTATGAGTATTAAATGTTCTTTCTTTGTAGCGGGATTTTTCTTGAAAAGTAGCTTTCTTGCATTTTTGCGCACTTGGTTGAAGACTGATCCTAGGGAGAGAAGCTATACTTTGCCCTTGCTTTGCTCGAAGCTGTTTGTTTTGGGTCGATTCCAATTTTGGTTTTGATCTTTTTGCAATTAACTGGGACCGAACGTTAGCTTCTTCTCCTGCTCTCCTCATGTGATCTGCGTCAAAATTTTTGTATGACACCATATAGTTCAGATACAGATTGTGGTTTGTGGTCCTCGAGGTATTTTTTATTTTTAACACTTTTTTGAAACTATTTTCAAATATGACACTGTTTATTTTTTTTTTCTAAAACTAACACTTTTGGCCGTGCCTATTCGCATGGCGCGGTGAAATCACGTTGCCACGCTATGTATGGTGGCGCGGTAGGAGCGATGATGTGGCAGCGACCAGGGCCGCTGAACGCTGACGTGGCCGGGGCTGCCGCGTCATGAATCTAGGGCGCTGCATCGGCGCGCCATGGAGAAATTTGGCGGCAATGCAATGCTCCCGCCGGCCACAGCACTTCACGTGACCGACCGCTCTCTGCAGTGCGCTTCCTCTATTTTGTTCAGCCACGCACGCGTGCGTCAGGTAACAAAGGGCACCCAAGATTCGCCGATGCGCCGGTCGGGTCGGTAACGCGAGAACGCTGCCGCCGCCGCCGCCTCCGGCCGGCCGCCTAGTACACAACACTCCCCCCCCTCTTGTCTCTCGGATCACGCCTCATGGAGGCGCGTGCAGTGCGTGTGTTACTCGTGATTTTTACTAGAACCCGTCATCAGAATTATGTATATTATTACTAGTGTTAGGACGACACCGGTACCATGCATCGGCGCACTAATCTTTTTTTTTGTATGTTCATTCATCCAGCATGCACCAGACGGATCCATTGTTTATTTTTTTAGGAAGTACATGCATGACCATGGATGCTTTGTCACGCACATCTATGTTCTTTTTGTTAAAAAACGTAGGAGCAGACTCCTACTAACTCCCACCATATAGTATTATTACCTGTGCATGCAGTATGATCCATCCTGTTTAAAACGTGAAAGTTTGGAGCCAGCCGGGCCAGTTTCAAATCTCCACGCCACGTCCTATTTTCCACACCGCTGAAGAGTTCATGCATGAAATCATAATACATGTTAGTGGATGATTTTTAGCATTCTGATATGGACAACTAAATATATGTTAGTAAATTATATGGTTTGCTAACATGAATAGTTTGAATGAAGACATAATGACATGTGTTAGTTGGATGTGTTAGTGGATCCTGATATGGACACTTTGCATGGCGAGATAGTTGAATGTGTTAGTAGGATGTTCTAGTGAATGCTGATGTGGACACTTTGCATAGCAAGATAAATTGCTAGTGGGGTTTCACTACGGGAGAGGTAAAATTCTCCGAGTGTCGCTGGCTTCCCCGAGTGTCAAAAATCAGGCACTCGGGAAAGAGAATCTTCCCCGAGTGTTGCACTCGGAGAAGAATTACACTCGGGGAAGAGAGACTTTCCCGAGTGCCACAGAGATCCTGGCACTCGGTAAAGAGCAGCACTCGGCAAAGGCCCTCTTCCCCGAGTGCAACACTCGGGGAAGATCGGCACTCGGCAAAGAAACATGTTACTTGACGGTCCACCCGCCCACGCCGTTAAAACTTTTAAAAAATTTCTTCCCGAGTGCTTTTTACGGCACTCGAGGAAAGCTGCCTTCAGAGTGCCTGTCACGGCACTCGGGAAAAACCTCTTCCC